AAGTGATAATATTGTATTTTTTTAATCAGCAGATTGACCAAAACAAAATATCAACCTGTGCTGGAGATTTATGGCCAACTACCGATACACTAAAAAGTCCAAATATCAGCATGTTATATTGTCCAAATGACATATCGGTCTATCTCTAGTAACAGTGAAAGATTACTGGCTAGTGAATGCACAGTGGGAGAGTGGTTAGCACCTTAGCCATATTAAGGAGCTTGTAGATCTCACATTGTGGTAGATTCTGTATGACCTATGATGTTTCTGGTGCTCTTAATGAGTCCTCCCACCAGTCACATTTGCATAATTTAATTAGGCCTATATTGAATCAATGACTTTGACTATGTCCTCACTTTAAGTCCATTTACACTTCACTCTTAACCCCAAATTAAAGGTGAATTCTGTAACCTTTCTGGTAGAGGGTCTACCATTTGCTTTTGTCCATGCTTTGTCTGGAACATTTCACAAAGTGGCATTAAACTGACCAAATCTGGCCAGGTCAGATCTATAGAGGCAAACCCACTCACAGTCACCCACCTGTTTTCAAGGTATTTTTGAGCAGAAAACAAACAAACAAAAAACCAAACACCTATAATTGATTAAATATAAGGTGGATCTGTTTAAGGTCATACTGTGAAATACTGCCAGCAGAGCAATAACATTTTCATAGAAACAAGAAGACAACAAACCCCCAACTGAAAAGTTACACAGTGCACATTTAAATTCAAAAAGGTAAAGAAAATCACTGGTAGTTGTCCTCAAATGAACTGCCTTCTAAAGCGATAATGTTTCATTTTGACTTGCTTGCCTTTTATAAAGTATTGTTCATTTATTTTGATGATTTATGAATAAGTTGTATTTTAAAGCTACTTTAGAATCTATGAACAAATCTCAAGCTGAAGTGCGTGGTCTGTGACACATTAGGTTCAATCGTATCAGCGCTAATGAATGGGCAGGTTGTAGCTTTCGCCTGAAGCAAAATTTAATATGAATTGATTATGATAAATGAATGATATTTTTATTGCAATACTGGAGAAACAGAAGGCATGGAGTTGAATATGAGGCAGTGAAGTACATATAAAAAAATATTTATTTCCAAATCAGTCTATTTATTTATTCTTTCTACTTTAATTTGCAGTATATTCACATTTTCAGTAACCAGCATATTTACTTTCTGCTCAAGTACTTTTGGAAGTTTAAAAAGTTTTACCTGGAAGAACCTATAGTTTATTAAGATTCAAGATGCTATTTCATTGTCATAGAAAAACAACAAAATTATGTTTAGAGCGTGTAAAGTACAAGACCAAAGATGCAAGACCCCAGTTTATTAAATGAAGGTGAAATGTGAAATGTTAGTTTCTCAACTTAATGCGGTGTTTCAAACTGTGGTGTGTGTACCCCCAGTGGCACTCTGGGATCTTCTGTAGTTAGTGCCAACTATTGAATTTGCCTTATCAAATTATATACTTTCTAGCAGGTATTTCATTATAGTTCATGTTAGTTTCTCATCTGCGAGATGTCTGAATCATCACACTTTTTATTAAGTAGTACTTTAAAGGTGCACTATGTAACTTTTTGGTGGGGGCCGTCACCTGCTTGTTTCTATGGATCTGTCATGTGGAAGGTCCCACAGTATGACATTAAACGACTCTACCTTACATTTATTCAATTACAAATAGATTTATGGCTCAACAATACCTAGAAAAACAAGCATTCTGACTGTGAGTGAGTTCGGCTCTCTGCAGATCTGACCTGTAACTTGGTCTGGTTTAATCTCCATGAAGTTAGAAAGGTTTAATGCCATACAGTGAAACATTCCAGACAAAACAATAACAATTCCATGGACAAAAGCATTTGACAGACCCTGCACCAGAAAAGTTACACAATGCACATTTAAGGAAAAAAGTTTGAGAACCACTGACTTGAACCTACATATACCTCATGAATATAAAGGGTGATTCACTGTACTATTTATCTACATCACTTCAGCTTCTTCTTATGATGTACTTATTCGCACCCTTAATGAAAACACACTATTAAAAGACATTACTTCATACTTGCGTGGAGGTGGCAGCTGAACTCACGTGTTGTTTTCAGGTAAAAGCACCAGAGTCGTGTCTAAGACAGTTTATGTGCAGGCGGGAACTCTGTATCTTTTCTTTTTATACTCGCCGTGGATGAAGTGAGAAACTAAAGTTGATTTATAAGCAAGGAATTTAAGAGATGCGCTCAACAGATGCTCAGAGTGAAACTTGAACCCAAATTTGGACAAAGATTTCCGGAGGCGACGATGGTGAAACGTGTCCAGCAGGAGTCTGTCTGACCACAGTTTGTGCAAAGAGAAAGAAAAAAAAACTTGAATAAACTTGAGCCTTATTTTTGGGACATTAGCCCTGAGGCTGCGACTGTTATCTGGCTGCATCAAGTTGACTTTGTTTAAGGGAAGAAAAGAAGGAAATTCGGGGGGAGCGCACAGGGGGGCGGGACTGTAACGGGAGTCTCCAAAAGCCATTGAAAGGAGTTTGATCCAAGTGATATTTTATATGTGTCCTGGTCAGAGATAGACAATGGGCCATGGCTAACCACCAGAGAGCAAAGCATGTCAGGTGAATAGTATGTCTTCTTTGCAGTGTTGTACATCCATGGCCTTTGTGAGACCGAATTTGGCTGCCGGAGTCTCACAAAAGAGGCAGTTTGTTCACTACTGACAAGTGTGCTTTTATTTGCGCCGGCCCCTTTGAAGTGTAGAGAAAACTTCATGCCGGGGGTATCCCTTCTACACACAAATGCACCAGAAATCCCACTCCATTGTATCATCTTTAACAATCCACCTGCCCATTCAGCGCGCAAAAGCTTTTATTCACCTTTAAGATCCTTTATTTTAAAACGCTGTGCCTACTGTCTGTCTGTCAACTGTAATGAGGGGAGGGAGGAGGGAGGGGGGCGATGAAGAGGGCACGCGGTTCAGGGGAAGAAAAAAAACTTGGCAGTATCCTGTGACTTTGTTTATCAAGTAGGACAGTTTGACTTTAGACTGAAGGGAGCATATAAGTACAAACAAATGAATTATTCATTTTAGACGACAGGTGCCTCATAGTAAAATTTATATCAGATCACTGAAAATTCAATTAAAGTAATTTACTTTAGTACTTAAAAATGAAATAGCACTTTTTACCAACAATACCTCCAACTGTTGTAGGAATAATTGAAGTAGCTTGAGTGTGGCACAACACTTTTAAACATAGAAGACGTTTATTTACTATCAGTAAGGAATGAACAGGTATAAATCCTCAACACATTATAATGCAGTCCATTGAACTCTGTCCATGATACCATTGTAGGAAGTATTATAAAATCAGATGACGTTGAATTAGAGCTATTAGCAACAAAATGTCAAAAAAAAAAAAAAAAGAGTCCTTGGTATCACATTTTCTATGGTTAGGACTCTGAGCAAATGGAGATTTTATTTTTTATTTTATTTGATGGGTGGTTGGGTCAGGGTTTAGTCCCCATCCATTAACCAGAGCGTCACCGGTTCGAGATCAGCCTAAGCACATACTGCCGTTGTGCCCCTGGGTAAAACACTTCATCCACAATGCTGCTATTGTTCACTTTGTTTTGAAATGTCACACTAACACATTCATACAGGCAAGGGGGAGTCGAGTGTTTTGCCCATTGACACAAGGACAGCGTGCAGTCTAGACTTACAAACATACATTGACAAATTTCAGGGACATAGCAGAAGATTTCAGTGAGTACAAACATCTTGGTGGGTCATTAAATAAATTAAATTCACACAGACTTTGAGAGGAGGTCCTTCACTCCCTAGTCCGATGCCCCAAAATTATTAATTATTCTGAAAGAAAATATGAATAGGAAAGCTATGTGAGTATCTCTGTCTTTTTAAAATAAAAATTAACATTTGCATCATTTTAAACATACTTTATAATTGTTATCATTTTTGAGCACTCATGACTTCACCTCTCAACAAAATTATTCAAAATATTTTTTCCAATTAAACATCAAGGAGGAAGTAAGAGAGGCTGACTTATTGAATTGTATAATATTTACACTAGCTTTGATTGACCTGAAAACCAATGTCCAATAGAAATATAAGCTTGGTATGTTCTGATTTTGAAATATCTGCAAATCAGCTGTTTCATAATACCTCTAAAATGCACTCATCATTTTCTATTAAATAATTTCCAAATTCCCAAACCACAAAGCTCTTTACAGGCTTCTTTCATTATGACATTTTTTTGGTTTTGACTCTTTTATGTTCAGCATGTTCAGGCTTTAAAGTGTAATGGGAAATTAATCGCTATCTGTCTAATAATTCAATAATGAGAAAAACAGTACTTTCTCTATGCTCTGTCCTTACATTACCAAAATCTTTCATCTCACAATCCATATTCTAAGACCAGATATAGATCATACTCTTTAGTCAGTGCAGGTAACATTAAGGAACATTCAAATTGTTGTTGTTTTTTTGTTTTTGTTTACTTGACAACTGGTAAAAATATATATTATGGATCTCCTATTATGTGCCATACACCATACCAACACTATAAATTATTACCAAATTATTCACCTACATTTGGATAATATTAGAAGAATAAAACAATATCACAAAGGTGCATTATGTAACTTCTAAGGTGGAGGGTCGTCTACATTCTTGTCTTCATGGAGATGTTATTTATTTGCATGAAATGTTCAGCAGTATGGCATTACATTTATCTGCCTCGCATTTATTAAATTATAGAGTTTTATAGCTCAAAAACACCTTGAAAAACATGAACTCTTACTTAATGCAGGCCTGCTTCTACATGGATCTGATCAGTAACCAGAAAAGTTACACAGTGTACCTTTAAAAAAGTTACAGAGTGCACCTTTAAGGATACTTATTTTGGTTTGGTTCTTGATCTCTCCAAGTCCAGAGTGAATGTTGCTGTCATGCTTTTAACTGGTCAATTCTTTTTATTTATTTATTTATTTAGGTCTAAAAACTCTGCACTTATGCTCAAGAGGACAGATTCGGACATGTTGTGGCCTTCTCTGATCAGTCAGCATCCCTCTGCAAATTACAGATCAAATTAAAGGTACTCATATATTAACTACTTTATTTATTTTAGTCAATTCAAAAAACTTTAAACTGTGTCTCTTTTCCCTGCCAGAAATACTGGACTGAGACACAACCATGCAATGTGACCACCATCGTCGCCACGCGTTACTCATCTGTGGCGCTCTGAAGGTTAGTCACTCTCATATACAGGGGGCTCGCCATTTTCAAGACTTTCCTAAAATGCAAAATCTCTGGTCACTACCACTGGGAACCAATAACGCCTTTGGCTAAGCAACAAGATGCAAATACTTGTATTCAAATTCTCCTGCAGACATTCAAGCTTACACTCAACTCCTAGTCTAAAACGCAGAATAAAATAAAGTGAGTTACGCAATTCAAAAAGTCAAAAAAATTACAATGCATTATATTTCTGGACCATATAAAGAATGAGTTGGATTTATGCCAAAATGCTGCTCAGAAAAAAACATTTAGACATTTAACCCGACCAGAGGAGGCAGCGTGAACTAAACCACAACAGCCTCTTTCAGTTTGTATTGTCTCCATGGAGATGTGATTGTTTTGCCTGGAATATAACTTTTTAAAGCATGCAACCAACCATAAAAAAATAATAAAGCTTGCCCGGGAGACACACCTGGATTAATACTAGAACAGTCAAAACTCACATCTGGACTAGTGCAAACACAATCACTAAAACATATTTACGCATTAAAATGTTAACAATTTCTAAATAGGGGTTTTCACAGTACATAATACATTAGATAGTGTTTAAAAATTAAATAAATTGTTACATTTTAAAATCATATCTTTGCTTTTGAGTTCTTTGGCGGGCAGCTGAGCCACAATGAGAAACTCTGTTCAGAAAGATTTAGAATACAACCAAACAGAAATAAGTAATTTTGTTGGATGCAACCACTCAGAGAGTCAAATATTGCATAAACTTAGATACACTATGAAACTTTTCCAGTTATTACTTTCTCTGAAACGTTCCACAATATGGCATCAAACTTATCTTCCATTTATTCATTACAGTTTTTATTGCTCAAAAACATGCATTCCTTACTGTGAGTCAGCTCTCTACACAGATCTGACCCGTAACCTGTTCTGCTTGTTTCCATGGCGATAGTGTATGTTTAATGCCATACTGCAACAAATTCCAGGCAAAACAATAACATCTCCATGGAGACAAAAAGGTGGCAAAATTTACAAAAAAAGCAAAGATAAAAGCGTAGTAAGTAGAAGTTGTTAAAAGTTGCCATACATCAATTTCCACAGACACAAATCAAAACCCATGCCCAGTTTATGAACAGCGAGAGCCTTACCTCCCTCCCCCTCATGGCTGCTGCTCCCCCTGGCAGCACCCCCGTCACTCTGCAGTCCCGTAGTCCGTCTGGCCCAGGCATAAACCATAAAGATAATGGAGACAGGCAGCATCCTCCACTGTCAGCCTGTGGAGCAGACGGACATTAGTCAGCCCTGAGATCAATGCCCTTGTATGTCAGAGCCCGCGCCGCATACCTCCCCTCAGGCCAGTTTACATACTCACCTGCTGTTTAACGCAAGCCACCAAGATGGATGGGCCCACCTCATATTAAAGCAAGAGGAAGGGAGCAGTCACCACAGAGGAACTTTTAAATGCATTGTAACTTGAGAAGTAATATCAACACAGTAGCCTTACTTAAAACACTAAAATATTCATTCAGTAATGCGCTCACTAGAGTTACCTCAAGTTGCCTTCTGTGAGTTATTTTGAAAATTCTGAGGTGTGAAAAAGTGACGATTTTAAACTTTATTCCCCATTTTTGTTTCTCAAGGGAAATGTCTGTAACTTTAACATTTTGTAGGTCCGCAGGCACAAGTCTAAAGGGACATGTGGTTTATATATATATATATATATATATATATATATATATATATATATATATATATATATATATATATAACCACATATGGTCACTGGTAAATACATTTCCTACAGTCACAAAATACATTGTGGACTCTGGTGTTGTTGGAATCTAAAAATCTCTATGATTGTAGTTTACTGGGTGTTTATTGGGGTGTGACGACACTCCTAGCTTATACATTTTATGATTGCATCTCTAAAGAAACCAGTACTGGTAACAGTTTCACTTGTTAACTTGTAGCTCTTCAACAACAACAACAACAACAACAACAAAAACTGTAAAATTTAACTTTGCTTATTAGGCTTAGACAGTAAGGGAAATTATTTGGACACAGTAGCTCACACATCACAATACATTATAATAACAGAGAGCAAAAATATAAATGTTAATAATAAATTCAAAATAAGTAGCAACAATAGCAAGTCACTAAGGCATTATTATATAAATATATATGCACAAGTGAGTAATTATAAGAGCAGTACTTTTACTTGAGTACATTTTCTGTTTATTCAGTTCCCGTCAGTACACTCTTCGGCCTGCCATAATTCAGCGAGCAACCCAAAAACTATCCATCGTGTGCTGTCCGTCAGGCTAAACTTAGCATCAGAGAAATTAGCACAAACGCTGCGCGGGGCACCGCTGTGAGGTATGGCGGCAGAGGGTGTTATTTACGGGCCAGCGCTGCTTTCTGAAGACCCAAGCTCTGAGTCACCTCCCCAGACCGATAATTGATTCTCTCTCTCTAAAGAAATATTATGAGGCAGAGTGACAAATGTACAGCGGGGAGCATATTGTCACCAGGCTGAGAGAGTTTAGCAATTACACATGCTTTATTGGTGATGGTTTGGGTAATGAAAGCTCACATGGTAAAAAGAATCAATGTAAGTAAATACATAGAGGTGGATTTGGGAGAAAATTAGGCATTTCTCAAACAGAATCAATCAGAATTTAGTACAAGTAAAAGTGAAATTACTTAAAAAGTTAATCCATCATCTTGCCTCAATTCTGTCAGTGTAATAAATCTGCTAAGATATGTCATATACTGTTAAATATACCTATGGTGTCTTGGTTGAGGCTCAAGGATCATGGTGCAGTAAAAAAGTAAAAAACAAACAGACAAACAGAATAAAACATATAAAACAAGAGGCCCCAAACCTGTAATATGAAGGAATATCTCTGTTTTTTCTTACACTGCAAGTTTGTTTCTTTTTCAATATGGTCTCATAAACAGCCTTTGATATAGTTTTATTATTTACTACAAAAGAAGAATTGTGAAATCATCAATCAGTCAATATATCTTTTATCCCTACTTCAAAATAATACATAATTGTACAATACATTATGAATAAAACTGTACATTTTTGTCTGTTTCTACATATCAGCATGTGGCCTTTGAATGAAACTGAACAAAATTACCATGTAAAAAAATTCAACCATAGAGCTGGAAGAAGACATGCTCTTAACTGTTGTGTATCTGGTGTTGACGGTATCATACACCACATCCCAGGGTCCCTGAACTCAACTTCTCATGGCTACCACAGGTTGGCATGCGGGCTGTGCGTAAGAGGCTGTAAAAGATAACCTGCTATTTTTAACCATCAGCGGTACTATAGTAGCGTATGACGTGGAGTCTTTGTTATCAATATTTATGGAACCGAAGATTAAGATAGAGTAATGATACACAGTCCGGGGGCTTAATAGTTGTCATTACGGCAAGAGGAAACTGCTGATAGTCACAAAATTTTCGCCTGGCACTGTACATTTTAGTAATGATTTCTGAGACCGAGCCGGGCCCAAATGTAATTAGCAGATGTAAACAGGAGTATGAGAGCCGCAACATAAAGACACTCAAATGATTTTATTCAATACAAATCGTGTTACACAGTTGTCAGAGATGATATGATGGCACATTTCTGGAGAGCATGAATGCATTTTTAAAACAAAGCATATAAGATTATTTTATTATTACACATGTGAGCTGAAAAAATACACTAATTGTGCTCCTCTGTCAAAATTAACTGTTTCACAAGCTCCCATTTGGTATGACTTTTAATGTAAAATAATCTCAACTAAAAGAAAAAGAGTGCGGAACTTTTTTGTTTCTCCTGCATTTTCATAATATATTTTTACAATCTTTGTAAAAGCGATCTGTCATTTTGCCCATTTAAAGAACATTAAATGAATATTTTAATGAATAAACTACCTAATACCTCTACTAACGTAGCATTGACTTAAATAGCGAGTTGTGAGATGAAGCATACTTTAACTTTATCTCAGTTATACTACACTGAGCACTTTTCCTTCAAATAAAAATAAGTGTAATTTTACAGTAATGTAATATGTGAAATAATAACAAGAACACATTTAGGATCTAAGGAATACTTGCCTGATACACAGATTGTACAAATAAATCTTAAAATACTCCTGACGTTTATCAAAGTATGATCTATTTGTGAATGAAAATCATTTACATCAAGATTTAAAGGGTCACTTTTTAAAGGGTGTGCTTGAATTTCATCTATTTTAATCTGGGTCAGTGTGCCCTCTATAAACAAGGCTGCCCTGTTCCTCCTTTCAACCTGTGGAGCAGAAGCCTTCACCCGTGACAACTACTTGAGAATAAATTTGGATACTCAAGTAACATGTATTATTATTAGTGCTGTCATGCGATAAAAAAAACTGAGAGATTAATTAATTATGATCTGTAATTAATTAATCTCATTAATCTCATTTTAATCTCACCTAAAAATTGCTGAGAAAAGCTTTCAATTTGAGGTATTTTCATTTAAATTCATTATTACATTATTGTGGCAGATCAAAAGACTGATATAGATTTTAAAAAGTGACTTTATAAAGTCATTTATTGTTTAACAAATCTCTCCAAATTGGCTGTTGAGCCCAAGTCTCCATGAATAAGAAACTGTTTGTTGTAAAGTAGCAAAGACGAGGAAATCTGAACATAATAACTTTTGTCTACTTAAGGACAATAAAAAGTCCAGTCTTTCCTTAACCATATTAAAAATATTATTGATAGAGAAATGCTTTATATATGAGATCACTGGTTTTAGTCCTGGTTTAGACCTGGTTTAGACCTGGTTTAGACCTGGTTTAGACCTACTTTAGTCCTAGTTTAGTCCTGGAATGGATTAATCCTGGTTTTAGTCCTGGTGTTAGTTCTGGTGTTAGTCCTGGTGTTAGTCCTGGTGTTAGTTCTGGTGTTAGTTCTGGTTTAGTCCTGGTTTTAGTCCTGGTTTTAGTTCTGGTGTTAGTCCTGGTGTTAGTCCTGGTGTTAGTCCTGGTGTTAGTCCTGGTGTTAGTTCTGGTGTTAGTTCTGGTTTAGTCCTGGTTTTAGTCCTGGTTTTAGTTCTGGTTTTAGTTCTGGTTTAGTCCTGGTTTAGTCCTGGTTTAGTCCTGGTTTTAGTCTTGGTGTTAGTTCTGGTTTAGTCCTGGTTTAGTCCTGGTTTTAGTCTTGGTGTTAGTTCTGGATTAGAGGCGCACAGGAGGAAGCGCGGTTTACGCCGCGTACGCGAGAAAACACGATCCACACGCGGCTCACGGGAGGACAGCGATGTCCGCGCAGTGTCTACGGAAGAAAACGTGGTCCGCGCGTTCTCAGGGTAATGACGATGATGAAGGTGTGTGTGTGTTTGTGTGCGTGTCCCCTCATGTGGCAGGTCACTATAGGACAGTAGTGCAGAGATCATGAGCCTATGCAGGTTGTTTTCAGGCGATATTATATTTGTTATTTTCTTTTATATTGCACGTCGGGAGAATAATTTCCAAGACACGAATGTGTTTTTACCTGTGCACTGCTGCTCTGTTCTACTGGCTCTTCGACCTCGTCCATTGTGCGACTGACGCCGCCAATGTTAACATGACGTTTACATCGCTCTTACTGCGCACGTTTTGTGTGGGTTTCCGGCAATGAGTGGAATTACCGAAATAAAAAAATGTATAAATGTGTTTTGTGTGTGTGTGTGTTGTTGTCCCAACAACACATAAAAACAGGTTTTATAATAAAGAAACTCACATACAGAAACACTAAAGTTAGAGATTAAAAATGAGATTAACGCGATTAAAAAACATAACGCGCTAAATATGACTGTAATTAATTAATCGCAATTAACGCGATAATTTGACACCCCTAATTATTATATTGCCTAAAAAGCTTTTGCACTGTCCAGTGACCAATAGTGAGTGTGAATTAAGAACAACGTGCCTAAATCGGAGTGAGTTCACGTCCTCCAGTGCCCACTTTGAGGCCTATAAGTAAAAAGATATTAATAAAGACACATGCTAAGTTATTTTTTACCTGCAGTATAAAAGTAACTGAAGAAACACCATGTACTTTTCTGATGGAGGGTCAGTCCCCAGCTTCTCTCCATGGAAATGTTCCACAGAATGGCATTACGCTTATATATTTCTCTATGGCGAGATCAGGCAATGCCATAGTGCCGAGTTACACGTCAAATCTATGGAGCGGTGAGCCCATTCACAGTAAGAATGCATGTTTCAAGTCAATAAAAACCCATACTATTGAGTAA